AAGCGAAGAATAAGGTATTTGTTTTAATAATAGCTATACTTAAATACAGTATAGTGTATTCTTTGTTCTAGTCTTATACTTAAATTGAAGTATAAGCGTTCTTGTATTAAATATACATATATTTAAATAAAGTATACCGAAATTTCATACAAATATACAGAATACTTAAATCAAGTGGCAATATTCCGCTTTGAGTAAACAACTAGAGGTCTTTCATCTAAGTATTATTGTATATTTGATTTAAGTATACCAATTTTCTTTAAAATAAAATACCTTTAAACTCAATCCAAGAATACTCATCTCAAATCAAGTAACAGTTTTTCTTAAAAATTAAGTATATCCCATTACTTAGTTTAAATGTACGCTAATCTCATAGAAATAATAAATATACTTAAATCAAGTTCCTAACATGAAGTATAGAACTATTCTTAAACCTAGTAAGGGATTTTTTTCCGTGTAGGATGACTGCCCGTTTGAATACTAAATCTTAGTTTTATTAGAACTGTATTGAATCGTGCTTTGTATTTATATTTTTCGCCTCTATACCTATGCACCACTATAGTTAAAGTCTTACAAGATACATTATTTTGATTTTCTATATTCAACAGATAGGTAGAAACTCGACCCTGTCGAATGGCGCAGTTATTTATGTCTCTAAAAATTATTGAAAAAGGTGGCAGTCCAATGGTGCAGCAACTTCGGATTCTTATTCTCTTGAAAGACATAGAAACTCAAGCTTTTCGAATTTTACTGGCAATGATTTGTCCCCAAGAATTATAAAAAATAGCGCAATGCAATATCGCAACGGTTTTGACTTCTCTTTACTCTACCAAGTTATAGAAACTGGAGTCTTCTGTTCTAGTCAATATTTTTGAGAGCATAAAAAGGTGTAATTCAATATTGCAAGAAGTTTTGATCTTTTGATGGATACAAGTTTTTTTATTATTCTTATTTTTGCATATGAGTTTGTTAAAAACAGTTCCTTTCTTTGCTTCCTTTGTCTGATTTTTATTTACCGTTACAACTCAGGTATGTAAAGCACAGATGATATGATGTGTATGTGTATGTATGATTTCTATTAAAAATTTCAGAGATTATGTTAAAAAACGATATGCTATTAAACTTTAATAATTAAACTTTTATATTAGTAAGACCTATAGGTCTGTTGGTAGACCCTGCACTATCTCCACTGGTGTTAGTATAGCAATATTTAAATCGAATTAATGGCCCATTTGCAATTATTCCTAAAGAAAAAATATTCAACACAGCTTATACAGGGTTCCCCATAATAGACTACCCATTTTATTTTATTAATAAATTCCCTACGAGATAACTAAATAAGTTGTTCTCTATGGGAATATCTTCTATAGTCTTTGGGATTTAAGTTAATTATTAATCAAGTAGGCACCTGTCACAAATAAGTTTTAAATTAATAATTTCCTGGAACGTCATTTTTTCTACAAGAAGTTTGTTAGTTTTCATCAATAATTATTTAAATTATTAAATTTTTTTGCTTTGAGACATTATTTCAACATCCGTTTGAACTTTCATGGATTACTCAGTCCAACAACGTGGGTTTTGTGTAGAAAATTACATAAGAAGCAATTCGATAGAAGAAGTTAGGCGTGAATTCCGGCGTCAGTTTAATAACAACAATAGGGGTCACTCGCCAAATCGTAAAACTGTTAAGTTATGGGTTCGTCATTGGCGTGAAAATGGATCTGTACAAAATTTGAAGAAGCCTGGACGTCGAAGAACATTTCGTACACTAGAAAATATTGAACAAGTTAGAATTGCGTTTACGACTTTACCACTTTTTATCTAATATTGAAAAATTTGTTGAAGTTGGTGGAGGTCATTTAGAAGACGTGATTTTTAAAAGTTAGAATTAAATTAGCCAAATATTTATAAGTTATCATAAATCCCAAAGAATTAGCTGTAATTTAGTATAATAAAAAGTTTGTTTTGTTAACTAAAAAAATTTTAATTCAAATGTTAAAATGGGTAGCCTATTATGGGGAACCCTGTATAATTAATAAAATGAAAAAAATCACATTCATGTAGTATATAATTTTTTTTCAAGCATACTGAGTCTGCTTTGCGTGTTATTATCATAGGTTAAATTAATAGCAAAATTAGAAATAATTATTAGCGTTACAATTATTTCAAATGACTTGCCTTTATTTTAAAATATAAACCTTTTAAAAGATTTTGAAGAACGGTAAATATCTAAAAACAGACCAAATTTTAAAATTTGTCTGTACATATAAAGCTATGTATACATATATTATTTAATAAATTATAAAAAATTGGTAAATGCAAAAAAATGATACCCCAAAAATTTTTTTTTCTTTGACCCAAATAGACTTGCGTGACACCCAGAGATTTTTTTGCCAACAGCTTTTCCCTTATTAGGGCCCCTACCAGAATTTCGATACGGGGCCCTCTCGAGGCTAGCTACGCCACTGATTAAAATGGTATATTAATAAAAACACTTTTACTTTTAAGAATCATTTATAAAATTCGATTATGGAACTGAAGAAAATTTAAAAAGATATAATGCATCTACTCCACCACTATACAATTTAATTGACATGGATTTACCTGTTTACCTTTTTGGTGCCAAAAATGATTTGATGGTTTCTATTAATGTGAGATTAAATAATTTAACCATTTTAAATTAAAATAATTTAAGCCTCTAAGAATTTTTTGTAATAATACAAATTTTAATTTTAGGATTTAAAGCTTCTGAAAAAGTATTTACCTAATGTTAAAGGATTTGAAGTTATGCCCTTTAAAAAATTTAACCACTTGGATTTTATTCTTGCAAACAATCTTGATATAATTTTAAACAACAAAATTTTACAAATTATAAATAGTTTTTGAATTAATTTGAGTTTTATTTATTACCTATAGGTATACCAACTAGCTTTTACCCGCGACTTCGTTCCCGTGGAATGAGTACTTTACATTAGCTATGATAAAGGGTTAGTCAAGATTCAAAGGTGAAAGGTCAAAAATGCTACTATAGTAGACTTCGCCGCCCCCGCCTCAGGATTTTAATGAAAGTGCGGATTGCAATATACGCAATCATGTTATAACATGTTATAACAAAAATGTCGACATTTTAATGCGATTACTTTCTTCTCACCGCTGTAACTGTTTGTGTTTGATTTAAGAAGCGGCGAAGTAGAATTTAAAGCGTGCTCCATACCAAACGGTCTAGTTAAACGGCTACCCGATACCATAGACTCTATGCCCGATAACGTGTACTATCGCTAACAAAAAAAACTCATACAGCTATATTGTGGCTGTGTGAATAAAACTTTTCCGTCAATGTCAAGCTGACATCGAGCTTTGTCACATCCATTATGACTTTTTTAACATTTTTAACCAAACAATGCAGACGAGCCATTGAAGCCATTTGGAACGAGATAAAGCAAGACGGCGACTTCCATGCTTTGCCGTTTGCGGGCAGTAATTGACAAAAACAGAGGGGTGACGAAATATTATTTTTTTTTTCAAACTTTAACCTAACTTTGTATTTAATTTTAGACCTTTCAAATGTGACGTATCATGTTAAAAGCCATAATTACTCCAACGAAATGATAGAAAATCAGGAACACTAGATTTTTAAGCTGTATGAGTTTTTTTTGTTAGCGATAGTATATTTGCTAATTTCTTATGCAGCTAAAAAGTACACCGGCGTGTATTGAGAGTTGCCTATATTTATGCATATTTATGCAAAGCACCCCGCGACGTGGCGATGGAGCAAGGTTCTTTTGTCAGTTAGGTGCTTTGCGCAAGCTTATGTTCTGTGATCTACGACGTGCGACAATTGTAGACCCAGCTTAAGATATTTGCTAATTTCTTATGCAGCTAAAAGTACACTGGCGTGTATTGTTAGTTGCCTATATGTATGCTATGACACCTAAGCGGACGAGTCCACTTCAAAAAGAAAGAGGTGACCTCAGATACCGGCAAACTGTCAGAAAGCCTAGGCAAAAATAAGTTGGGGGAGAATGTTTGTTGTTGTAAAAGCTCTAAAATTATCTAATAAATTATATAACAATATTTTACATATACTTACCACACATATACAGATCATTTTGGATTCAGGCTGTTTCCTTTTCGTGGGGTTAAAGTAGGAGCTAGCTACTTATGCAGTTTTACACATGCGTGGGGCCTTGTTGTCAGATGTAATTATATTCTAATATTATTTTCGTTATTATAAAGCTTATAAAAATATTTTATATTGCATAATTTATAAAGAATTAATAAATTATGTTTTTAAGTATTAATAATAAAAATAAGTATTATTTTTTCAATTTTATAAAAATGTTTTTAGCATCAGAAATTTGGCTACGTCTTATTTTATTACCCAAGGACTTATTGCCAAGGAAATTATAATCGAACATTTTGGTCACAGTACAAACCATTTTTGGTTTATTGTTTACAGCAAAACATTTCGCATTTTAAAACTAGTTTTCTTATATTTTTTTAATATAACCTAAATTCTTAAAGTGACATTTGGATTTATTCATAACCATCAAATATTATTGATTTTTTAATCTCCCACTTTTGAACTGCACGTGCGCAAAAGGTAGAGAGTAGCCACCCTCCCCTTAAAAACGGGAACAAGGTCATCTATTCAAAATATAGGTAATAAGCGGTATATGTGTGGTAAGTATATGATATTTTACAACTCTCGCGCTATCTGTTGGTTAGGTCAGAAAGCTCTTATATAAGCAGATACCTATATCAATTAAAAACTGCAGTCATCACGGTGTTGCCACAAATACAAAGATTTAAAAATATAAATAGCAAGGATTTTACCGAGGAGGATTTTACACACAAAGAAATTCTTGCTTAAATAGTATATTATCAAATAAAAATGTAATTTCAATATTTTTTAATATTAATTTTAAATAAAAAGTAACGTAACCGTATTAATTAAAATATAATAAAATAATAATACATCTGGCAACATCCTAAAACGTTTGACATTTGACAGTAAACCGTGTAAACTGTATGACTTTACAATTTTGAAAAGAAATTTTTAGATTTATGAAGTGATGGCTTCTGAAAGATACAGTTTTTCTTTAACAACATTTAGGTAAGTTAATTAAAATCAATTACAGGTGTATTTGTAGCGTTACATACATTATATTTAACCTTATTTTCAGCCCTTCCGGCAAACTTGTTCAAATTGAGTATGCTTTAGCCGCAGTCGCTGCTGGGGCCCCTTCCGTGGGTATCAAAGGTAAATATATTTCTTTTTTGTTTTTGAAGTCACATTTTTGCAAAATTAATGTTTTTTAGCTTCCAATGGAGTTGTCATTGCCACTGAGAACAAGCATAAATCAATTCTTTATGACGAACACAGTGTTCATAAAGTTGAGATGGTTACTCAGCATATTGGCATGATTTACTCTGGAATGGGCCCTGATTACAGATTACTAGTTAAACAAGCTAGGAAAATGGCACAACAATACTTCTTGGTGTACAGAGAACCAATTCCAACTGTTCAATTGGTGCAACGTGTTGCTGCTGTTATGCAGGAGTATACTCAATCGGGAGGTGTAAGACCTTTTGGAGTTTCTCTTTTAATTTGTGGATGGGATAATGATAGGCCCTATTTGTTCCAATGTGATCCATCAGGGGCATATTTTGCCTGGAAAGCTACAGCTATGGGTAAAAACTACATAAATGGAAAGACGTTCTTGGAAAAAAGGTATACAAATAATATTTATTATTTTCAATGTTTAATTTTACTTCAGAGTTATAATAAAAGGGCCTTAAAACTAAAGAATTCTAACTTTGGATTTTACCCAACAAAATGAATCATTTTAATGTTTGCTAAAAAAATACAATAAAACATTGGAATGTTTATTAAATAATATTCTTACCTAATGAAATTTAAAATTTTCAAAAAAACTAACTAGTGTGGCAAAGATAAGCTAACAGTGATGTTTATTTTTGATTGGTTTAAACAAAGTCCATATTACACTGTCACATTTATCAAGAACTCTGCAACAAGTTTTGATGTTTTAAGACCTACAATTTTTTATAAATATAAATATACCATTTATTTAATTTAAATACAAAATAGCCAATATTCTATTTGATTTAATTATTATTTTATTATTATAATGCAAAAGGGATTATACAGGGTGATTTATAACAGGAGGCAAACAATAAAAATATATTCCATACCAAATTGACCACTTTTGACCATAGCAAATTTTTTTTTAAATAGGTATACCTATAGGTATCTTAGTTTTTCAAAAATGCACTTATTGGGACGTTTTATTTTTCAACATTTTTTTTAAGTGTACTTTTCAGAAAAAAAAATTATTTAGGATTATCTTGCAAAAACGAAAATTTCTATTGTTATTTTAATTTTTTTCTCTTTTTTTTAGAAACTGACATTTTCTGCAAATTCTCTGAAATTTTTAAAGTAGTGTTTTTTTGTTTTGTACTTTCTGTAATTAATTTTTTTTATCTTATTTTTAATAATAAAAATCCCCAGAGTGGTAGGTACAAACTATGAGAAATAAGCTGAATTTCTTTTTCAGTTTTCAAACTTAAAATAAAAATAATAAATGAAATTGCAAGTGGTAATAATCTAAACAATTTCAAAGTTTTTTGAAAAAGTATAAAAAAAATTAAAAATATTTCTTAATTATTTTTTATTTATACTTTTAAAATCTTAATTTAAAAATAGAAAGAGAAAAATAGATATTTGGTTTATTTTTGGACAAACAACATGATTTTAAAAAGTGGTTAATTTGTGATGGAATTCATTTAATTTTTTTTTCAACATTATCCTTTTTTTTAATTACCAATTAAAACATGGTTTATTTAATAATTTTATATACAATAGCTATAAATACAATAAATAAAATTATTTCTTTACACGTTTCAATAATATTATTAATATACACTCTAGATTTGGTGGTCTCAACCATCTTTGTCCAGTATAATACAGTGCACTTTTTAAGTGCCAGTGATAGATTTGGTTTTTGCAAATCGGCTTACTAAGCTCTCACTTGCTATATTATATTCATCTGATTTTGAAAATTTGACTCTAATACTTGTTAAATTATTTGGAATATAAGCCCATGTAAACAGTTCCATTGGTGTCGTTATATGACGATCCACAAAGCAAAGATATGCCACTCTGCTAGTATTCTAAAAAATATATATATAAAAAAATTATTCAAAACTATCTTTAATTTTTTCTTACCCTTTTTGATGATTACCACTTTAAATTTCGTTTTTGTTGAAAATTCAACAAAAAATGTTGAAGAGCGGTCTGAATAATTTTTGTTGTTTTTCTAAAAAGTACATTCAAAAACAAAATTTTGAAAAAAAGTCCTGATAAGTCAATTTTTAAAAAGTTATAGATATTTTAAAAATGAAGAAATTTTTTTTAACTTTTTTTGGTTAGGTAAAACAATTTCAAAAAATTTTGGAAAATGTTTTTGATAGGGTGGAAAAAGATAAAAAGTTTCAGCCAAATTGAAAGGGGTCAGGGTCAAAAGTAAGATCGAATTCTAAGCAAAAAATGCGAAATATTTTTTTTGCGTTATAACTTTAATTTTAAATATGAATTAATTAAATGCATGGCCTATATGTATTTTTAGCAGGTTTCTATAATATTTTTTTACTTGAAGACCAATCTTACTGAAACCTTGTAAATGTCCTATTAGTGTAGGTACTTTACTACAAACTGATATTTTAATATTTTCTAATCATGACTTTCATTCCCAAACAAATTTTACACTTTAATTATATTTTAGATACAGTAAAGATCTTGAATTGGATGATGCTGTTCACACTGCCATTTTAACTTTGAAAGAAAGTTTTGAAGGTCAAATGACTGCAGACAACATTGAGGTTGGAATTTGTGACTCCACTGGTTTTAGAAGGCTGGAACCATCTCATGTTAAAGATTACTTGGCCAATATTCCCTAAATAACACAGTTTTAATTATATAAGTAAAAAAATGTTTGCTTTTAATTATAATTTAATACACTTGAAAATTTTCATACTAAATATTTTGTTTGTTTGAGATTCCTTTATAATTTAAAAAGAAAATTTTTAAACCAATATTATTAATATTTATTTAAAAAAACTTGGTTCTTGCTATAAAATAAAAAATATAACTAATGATTAGGAGACATACGTATTAATGTACATTAATTACGTGAGGCATTTTTCTGATAATTTGGACTCCCTCATCCCCCTTGGTGAGATTTGGTAGACCCCCTCCCTATACCTCGTCAGATTTTAGCCATTAAACTTTCTTTGCGGACAACATTTAAAAAAAAATGATTAATTTTATTTAACAAATTTGAATAATACTACATATTTTTTAAACTTAAAGTTGACGTGAGATTTTAAATTACCCCCCTCCCTTCCCTTAATGAGATTTGGTGAGATTTTGCTGGACCCCTCCCCCCCATTTTTGTCTCACGTAATTAATGGATGTCCCCTTATTTAGGAATTTAGAAAACTTTCTAAGAAATAACTTAAGGAAAATTAAACGTCCTACGAAATAATTCAAATGAACTTTTACAATTAGTCTCATAGTTTTGCGGAAAAAGCATAAAAATAATGTATATTTATTTAAATTTACCTTTGGCCTTAAATAGTAGATTTATAATAAAATGATAAGGGACCTTTTTTGTGCTTATGTCCCTAAATTAATTTCATAACAATAGGGTAAGTTTGCCTTGTATTTCTTAAGTAGGCTTTGACATTGCTTGGAAACGAAATAAGTGCAGCAGTCATACTCTCTGTTAAAAATAAGTGGGGAGCGTCCGGTAAACAAGATTAGATTTTTCAGGAGAGGGAAAAAATTGTTTTTAAATTAAGTATATTAACTTCTTGCAATATAAAGCATCTTTCCACATCCTCTTAAGCCCGCTGCACAATAGCCCGGGAACGGGAATCCTAACAATAAAGGTGGGAGAGACTAAAAAACCAATGTTGATAGATAGGGTTCGCTGAGTCTCTCCCACCTTTACCGTTTATTTTCCCGTTACCGGGCTATTGTGCAGCGGGCTTTAGTCTCCCTAGCACGCCTGAATCATGATCAAAATACAGAAATTAAATAATCGACTTTATGACCAAACTGAAGGTGACATGTTTGTTGTTGATCAAAACTTACCTAGAGTTGTTTGTTTTTCGATCAGTCGTACTGATACACAGGGCCTATTTTTGACTTAGTGGGGCCCCAAGGCCCAAGCAAAACTTCGCCCCCCATATCAATATCCTATATAATTTTTTAATAAGAATGTTTCTACTTACCTTTGACACCTTCAGGTTTATGATTAAAAAATTTAATTTTTAATTAATCAATTAAAAAATTGTTCTAATAATAAATCTAAAAAAATAAATAAATATTTATTTAAAAAAAACATACATTATTAATTATTTAGTAGGTACAAACAACTAAAAATATATTTAAACGATACTTAAACAAAATTTCTAACTGAAATTAATAACACAACAAAAAAATAAAAAAAAAACTCAGCTTCTAAGGAACAGCGAACAAAATAAATAATTTCTAATTAATAAAAATAAACAACTAATTAATTTTTTTTACGTATTTTCATTTCCGAAAACTTATCTATGATACCATTTATTTCTAATTTATCTAGAATATCGCTTTCTACGTTTAGAATAGCCAACGATGAAACATTTTTTTCGTTTAATGAGTTTCTTAGATAGGTTTTTACCCGTTTTAACGTAGAAAATGATCTCTCTCCAGATGCGTTACTAATAGGAATAGTTAAATATATACGGAACAATACCTCAACGTTAGAGAAGGTTGACAAAATATTGTTATCAATTAAAAATTTTAACATTTCCTGGGGGTCTTTAGAGGAAATATCATTTGATTTACAAAGTGCTTTAAATTGTATAATTTCATCCACTAAATCTTCAGTATATATTTTTTTATATTTTTTATACTTATATCTTTCATTTGAGGGTTCAACAAAAAATACACCAAAAATTTCATTTACATAATCATACGCTTGCATTCTCATTTTTAATTCAAAAATCAATTTGTCACATATAGGAAAAAACTATTTATTTTAAAGTTTTCAGCACCGCTTAAAGTAATGTCCTGTGCAGGGCCTTCATCAAAGAACTTGTTCCTCTTACGAACTCTTGAAATTTGAACATTATTATTTGGCTGAATTTTTTTGGTTTAAAAACTAGCTAAAGCTTGGCTATTTTGTGTTACTAGAAATTTTGGTTTTCATATTAGCCCAATTAAATTGGATAGTATACCAACTATCCAGCTATTTTAGTTTCCCTAATAATTTCAAGTAAATTAACCAAGATCCTTGGTTATTTTGTAAACTAGCCGCTAATTTAGTTGAAAATACATTTTCAATTAAAATAGCTGACAGTTTTGCTAGTTTATAAACTATCCAGCTAGTTTATAAACTATCCAAGTTTGCACATTAGCCGTAACATATACAAAAATAATATATTAATTAATAATTATAACTTACCTTAAGTTAAATTTCGGAGTTCGGACGATTGCAATTGAAAAAAGAAATTATAAAATTCACAATAATACTTTCGACTAGGACTAGGCGGTAATGAAGATTGCGTTGAGCGGCAGCTTTTTCATTCGTAATTCGTAATTCGTCAGCAAAAGATTTTTCAGTACTTATAGCGGCATAAACAAAAACGCCGTAAAAGAGACCGCCGATGTTTTATGTTTTTGAATCTAACTAAAATTATATAGGTATAATATCAATATCGTTATTATACCAATCTAAGCCACTTTTATTTATTTTTTATTTTATTTATTTATAAAATAGGTATGGCTTTATTTTAAATTTAAATTGAAATGGTTTATAATTTTTTTTCAAGGGCTTTTTTCGGGCCCCATTTTCCTCCGGGCCCAAGGCCCGGGCCTTATGGGCCTTTAGGTAAAATAGGCCCTGCTGATACATATATCTTATTAAGTGATAAATATATGGTCCTACTCTAACACCGAATTTTGCAAAACTGTGATTTGCTAAAAATTTTAAACTAATTAAAAGTACCAAGTAAATTAGTTTTGACTGGACGCTCCTTAAGTTATAAACACTTGTTTTGCAGTAATTTCCGCATGCACATGCTTCATCATGATATCATGTTGAACTTGTTAGTTCTATGTAATGTAAAGCCGGGTCTACAATTGTCGCAGGGGTCCAATTGCAGAAAATAAGCTTATGTTCTGCGACCTGCGACAATTGTAGACCCGGCTTAAGCTGACCATAGGTCCTGTATTCTACAGGACTATCTTTTTTTCCACTGTCCTGTATTGTGGGCGTCCTGTAAAATGTCCTGTATTTTACCGGTAAATACTGACATTATATTTACCTACTTTCCTTTCTAAAACTTTTAATTTAAAGCTGACAACGTAGCGCTTGAGAAGGTATTGAATTCCCCGAAACTAAAAATATTTCAACTGCGCAATACGCAGTGCGCATACTCTCTAGCGGCATCTAAAATACTGAAACAAACAGTTACTATATTCATTTATTATTATAATAACATTGATTAAACGATAATGCATTAATCAAAGATTAATACAATTATATTTAATTAGCTAAAAGTTTAGCTATAAATATGTAGTCAGTGCGATTTTTGCCATTTTATTGTTAAAACTGGGTAAATTTACTAATAATATACTAATAATTGTTGAAATTTTTTGTGCCTCCCCGGCACTGAAAGGATTTTTACATACATGAACAGGTGGACAAGTGAAAAATCTCAATTGTCGGTAGAAACACTCAAGTCGATGTTATTTTTAATGTACAATGTGGAAAGTACATGTGAACATTTTTATAAAGAAATATCAAAAAATGTTGAGTTGTTAAAAAAAAAATGTATAGTTCTCAAAAATATTTATAAAGAAGTAAAATGTTTATTTATTTATTGCTTGGGGACAATTAATGTTCAGCAATGTGGAAAGTACATGTGAACATTTTTATAAAGAAATATCAAAAAATGTTGAGTTGTTAAAAAAAAATGTATAGTTCTCAAAAATATTTATAAAGAAGTAAAATGTTTATTTATTTATTGCTTGGGGACAATTAATGTTCAGCTATTGCCATTTCGGACGCACACTTCCAACTAAATATTCTGCCGTGCTTAATGAAAACGCCGTAACCAACAATTTTGCGATTTTTGGTTTACGGCATTTTCTACTAGAACAATTCATCCTGCGTCTATCCCCGGTACTCAAAAATCCGTATCTATATCTATACGGTTTTTTGAGTACCGGGGATAGACGCAGGATGAATTGTTTTAGTAGAAAATGCCGTAAACCAAAAATCGCAAAATTGTTGGTTACGGCGTTTTCATTAAGCACGGCAGTATTGACCAAGCGCTATTTATAATTATAATTAGCTCGATTTCAGTGTTAAGTGCCTAGTGTTAGTAGTGTACTTATATAATTAAGAAAGACAAAAAAATGATTATAACCGAGTAATTTTATTTATTTTGTATTACTTTTTTTGTGATAGTAAGTTATATGTATCAATATCACAAAAAAAATAATAAAGAAATAAAATTACTCAGTAACAATAAATTTTTTGTCTCTTCTGTGAAAAATGAAATCTGGTTTTTACCCGGTTATCCTTCTGGGATCTAAAATAAAATAAAAATAAACTAAATTAAAAAAAAAATAATTGGTTTTAATTGGTTGGAATGGGTTGGCGCTATGAATTACCAATTCATTCCATTCATTTCTATTGTATTTAGCCAATAGAGAAAAGCATAGGCATGGATTGGTATTTTCCAATTTAAGCCGCTGACTTCATTGGAAATTACCAATAGGAATTCAACTGGAATGAATTGGTGATTCATAGTGCCAAAATACATTTCAAACCGATTCAAACCTACTTATTTTTTATTGGATTCTATTGGTCATTTACAATAGGGATTGGACACCTTGAAAGAAAACATTCGTAGTTATTGCCTATATACGATGTCAGCTGCTCGAAAAAGTGGTCCATAGTTGGACATCCAGATCGAATAA